CGCTCGCTGCCAGAATTCGCTTTACCACAGAGCGGGCTGCTATGGTCACCAGGCAAGGAGGTTATAGAGGGCAGGAGGTGGTGTCCTTATCCTCCACACGTGGAGCCAAGTGTAACGAAAGTACGCCCGATCACAAAATGGCCCCTCAGACTCTAGGCCAATAGGAAACTTAGTTAATGGGCGCCGCCATGTAAATACGGGCACATAACCGCGTTACCATGGCACTGCCTTGGCAATGCGGTTGTTTGCCTCATATTTACATGGGGCGCCCATTAACTAAGTTTCAAATAGGTGAGATCTGGAGCCCAAGGGGGGATCGGAGGCCAAGTGGTCTAGCGCAAACCAGCTCGGAGCACGTGGAGCGAAAGCTCGCGCTACAGAACTCAGGGATCCTGGGTTCAATCCCCACCCCTGCCCTTTTCGATCTTGATGAGCATTGTACCGTCGTGCGGTCGTGTATCACTACCCCGGGATGAACGTTAAAGACCCGAGGCTAGCGGTTATACTGCACTGGCTAAATTACTCCTCTACAGCTGGGAGACTCGTCCCCCTTGGAGGCAGGCCAAGTTCTAGGCTGTATAAGCATACAGACATCCCAATTTTTTTTTCTGGAGCCCTACACTTTCCTGATGAGGAGGAAGTTGGCGTGTGTTGGACGCTCTAGACAGCGTGCCGGCAGCATCGTCTAGAGCTAGTCGTCATAACGCGCGACTATGGAAAACGAACATGTTATGCACCGCAAGAACGAACGCTGAGAATGGCTCCGGCTTGAAAATGCCCTAAAAGTTACACTTCCAGCACGCGTCCGTTGCCTTCCGTCATGCTGTGGCTGCCCGCGCGCATCGAAACTTCTTTGGGTGCGCCAAACTTATCGAAAGCCAACCCTTGACAGCGGGCAGACGAAGCAGACCGCAGGCATGGAGCAGGCGTGAACTAAGCCTAATGTAGCCTATGTGCCGATCGAGCGGTGGGCCGACGATGAGAGCAGTTTCTGTGCGCAAGGCAGTCTGGATTAAGTACATCTCCGGCGTCACTGAGCATGGCGTCATGCCGGGTCCTGGAGAATTTGAACGTCCTTGCAACCAGTGAATACTCCCTATGCAAGTTCGTGTGCCTCAGGGCATCTGGTGTTGAGGCATAAAACTGAAGGCGTCTAGCATTGAGATCTACCCACTATCCATTCAATCAAAGCCAATCAGAGCTCGGCGTCATTCTGACCTCGCCGCAACTCTTGCACGAGAAGCAGACGACTTGCTTTCCTCACAGGTGCTTTAGTTAGGATAAGTTCTAGTGCAGTTGGCGCGCGCTGTTTTCAACTAAAAAAAAAAAAACGCTTAAAGTGGCGATTTTTTTTTCAAGATTTTACACATTAACTCTCTATTTGTAATATTACCTTGAGCAGCTGGTGAATAACACCTCGTCATAGCAGCGTCGGTAGGGGGTCCTTTGCTTCGAGCAGGCTCGTCGGCAGCTCCTCAACGATCCGAACCTGTTGGGGCTCCGGTTGCAGACGTGAACCACGTCATCCGTTGTGACCACGCAGGTCTTTTCTCCAGGTTTGTAATAGGTCTGTTGCAGAATGCCGGGACAGTAGGTAAAGAAGAATTGACCGCATCTGGGATCCTTCTGTAAGGCAAAGCCGGGAAATAATTCCCACGCACCGTATCGAGAAAAATCAAAATGACCAGGGTCGTGTTGAAGAACCTTGCGTGTAAAATATTTTATCAGGCAAACAAATCGCCTGTAGGCCAAGTAACAAATAAAATTGTGCTAACACAAATAAGCTAGGTTCTCATGAAGATTGTCATTGTTTCCTGTCGATCGTGGTGATGGAATCTTTTGAACACTACAAGTGCTTCGGGTTCTGGCGCTCCGTCTTCAGCATATCAAATTAACAAAATCCTATAATTTGTTTTCTTGGAACGGGATCCCCTTAGAGTGCGTAAGGAATAAGTATAAATATGCTGGCTTTGCACGCCAATGTAGCCATTGCGCAAAACAGGTAACAAAATCATTTACATCAAGCACAGAAAAAACCTGCCTCATATTTGAAAAGCTTGCAGGTACGTGCCTTGAAATCGTTTTTTGAAGTTTAGCACCAACTACCGCACTAGACGCGAACCTCCGAAAGCGGAGGATCCTTCAACCCTTACCTTTGCAGAAACGAAGCCCTTGCCATGCTCAATATCCGGACTCCAAGCACCTTCATTACCTCCCGACGATGTCATCTGGACGACAGGCTTCTGCGCAACAGTAGACGTCGCCTTCATTGCGACTGTTCGATACTTTCCTGGTTCGCGCCTGTCAAAATAGTGACCACCTTGCGCTTCACGAACACCATGAGGTACCCGCTCTACGATCCTCTTGAACAGGACACCTTCGGAAGCAGACTTCAGTAGGAGGTCAGCGGTTCCGGTGACCTCATCGTCTGAACCAGTGTAGAGCATAACGTCTGCCATAAGTCCCGCAGAGACCGACAAGATGATGACAGCAGCGAACCCTGCCGCAAGGGAAAAAACCTGGCCTGTACAGAAGCCGTGTCTTGCGGATCCGGGATCGGTGGTCTGTTTGTTCCTGCCAAAGTGTCTTTCTGAGCTGAGTGGGCGACTGAAAGGAACCGGCGTCGGTGCTCCGGAAATTGAGTCCGGATGCACGACTGCTGCTGGAAAGTAGGGTACATCTGGACCGGCTAATTTTGAGAACTCTCCGTTGTATGTCGAGGGAAGCGGAAGCTGGAAGGAGACCAGTTTTGGAGATGGCAGACTTTCTGGATAGTACTTTCGTTCAAATGAGGTTGTAGGGCGGAAGTTTTCTGCATTAAAATCCCTAGCGGGCTTGGTCATCCATAATGGTAAATCCTTCCGAGCGTGGTGGTCCATGGTGTTCCGAAGGAATGTAGTAGGTTGTGATTTGAAGCAGCATAGATTGCCTTCGTCTTTTTTGCACGCATGAATAAAGCGCGAGCTATATGACAGTGTCGGCACTCTGTAGACACTTCACGCTTTCTGTTTTTATGCATAATATTATGGGGGAAAAGAGGACGCAATTCTACGGTACTTAAAATAAATTTTCAGACAAATGTTCATTGTACAAAACACATTTGAATTCCACCCCAAGCATAAGAATGTTTTGTCCTCGTTTTTGTCATAATGTCAAGAGTGGAAAAAAGAAATGAAAGAGGTTAGATGTTTACACCACGACCTACTCTATACTTACGACCACTCCATCTGGAAACACTCCAGGACGCACCTCCGCAGGGCTAGGGTGCCTACATGTCTACAAGCAAAAGCGCGCCTGTGTATGAAGGCACTCTAGATGAACCACGATTCCAACGAAGCTGAATACTCAGAGCTCTCCTCAGAACATGACTCAACTTGGATCGATGTCGTCACCAAGGCACAGAAGCGACGCCAGCGCAAGCTCAACGATGAGGTAGGCCCAACCGCCGTGCCCAAACCTCCAACTCCCCTGCCAGTACGCAAAGCCGCCCCCAGGCCCAATCCACTTCCCCGCGATGATTTTAAATTAGTTCTGCGCCCACAAGACGGCCTCAAGCTTGCAAATCTGGACATAGCCGAGGTTTCCCTGGCTCTGTTGAATTCGATCAACTTCACGTGGCGCCAAGCCAATCTTAGGGTTCGTGTGGATGCCACGCAAAATACGGCCACAATCTGCACACCCTCTTCAGATGCTGCCAAGGCCCTTGGAAACTTGAAACAACTCAAGATCGGCAACACCATTCATATGGTCACCCTGTATGGCCTGGCGCCCGATGACTCATCCAAGGGACTCGTTCGGGGAGTGCAGCTACGCTTCTCCGACGCCGAAATCCTCGCGAATTCCGACCAAAGCCAGTTCGAAATCTACACCTGCCGCAGACTGGGCCAATCCAAGATGGTAATACTCACCTTTGCGGGGCTAAAGGTACCCTTCTTCGTGACATTATTCGGCGGGGAGTACCCTGTCTCGCTGTATAAAAAGACAATTCCCGCGTGCACCGTACGCCACGAAGCCGGACATCGATCCACGGCGTGTCCACAACCAAAAGTCAATGTGTGCCACCAGTGCGGCCTCAGAGACCCTCACGAGGGTCACACATGCGAACCTCTGTGCACCCTCTGCGACGGTCCACACCTCACGGCGGCTCGGGGCTGTCTCAAGCGGTTTTCTGAGCCCTGCGTTCTCCGACGGAGAGCGCTCGCGAGGCAGGTGAGAGAGCGAGCCGTGCGGAGGGACCCGACACCGCAACGCGGGCGGCCCAGAGACTGTTCCAGGACCCCGACTCGAAGGAGGCGTAGCAGCTCGGGCCCAAGGTCCCAGTCTAACTCCCGGAGCAGGGAACCCCGGCCCCGCGAGAGCAACAACAAGCAAGTCAGCTGGACACAAATTGTGTCTCCCACTGCTCCCAGTACTCCTAAACCCCCAGCACCAGTCCAACCCACACCCTCACCCATACCCGTACCGTGTCCGGAATGCACACAACTCAAAACACAAATAGCAGTACTCCATGCTAGACTAGAGACAATAGAGAAAGCCCAGATGAGGAACACTACAGACAAACGCAAGAAACCAAACCGCCCAGAGGGGGATCAAACACAAATGGATGTGGTTCCACCATCACCATCCCCAAATAACGACGCACAAAAAAACAACACCCCAGGCTCCCGCGACGAGTGAGGTCCATACGCCAGATGCCTCACAAGTTGCTCAACCCCAGTGGTTTCAGGCAATTATAAGATCCATATTGGAGCCGCTTACCACACGCCTGGATGCACAATACAATGCCCTACGACAAGATATACAAAGAGTACACCAAGATGTGCAGCCCCTAAAGCAAGATATGCGCGACCTAAAACAAGATGTACAGTCTCTCAAGCAAGAAATAGAGCGCCACACCATCCGCATCGAACGCCTTGAAACAGTAAACCCACGCAGTAGCCGCAGACCCACCCCGTACGAACGAGAATCCCTGGTGGAAAGCAAGGACCCAACCAAGCAATATGACGACTCGCCCAAACAATAACACGAACGATACGGTGGCTCTCCAGTGGAACTGCCGAGGTATAAAAGACAAGCAGGGAGCACTCCAGCAATACGTCTCCTCCCTAGACCCTCAGCCAGAAATAGTTGCCTTACACGAAACAAATAGAAGCCCTCATCTTCCAGGACACGCCGCCTATGCTGACCCAACCGAAAAATCCACAGCCATTCTTATAAAAGGTTGCATTGCGGCAATGCAACATCTCACGACTCAGAAGGACTGCGAGCACACGCTCGTAGAAATTATCTCGAAGTCAACGAAGAAAAAATCTAATCTGTTCATACTCAATATGTATTGCCGGCCATCGCGCAAGCAACCAGGAATACGAGAAGTTATTCGGGAAGCCCTATTCATAGCAAAGGACTCACCCCTTCTAATCGTGGGGGACTTTAACGCCCCACACCGACTATGGGGATACACTCACAACTCCAAAAAAGGAAAAGCAATAGTCGAATCCATCGAACAGGAACACCTAACCCTGCTCAATGACCCCCAAACGCCTACCCGAACGGGCACCAGCGTATCCAGAGACACGAGCCCCGACCTTACTTTATTGGCAGGAACTCTGGACATTACCTGGACTAATACACAGGATAGCCTAGGATCGGACCATGACATAATCCATATTTTAATTAAGGACAAAAGCTACAAGGCCCACATCGGTTCAGCCCGCATAACCAACTGGGATAATTTCCGCAAGGACAGAAACTCGCAAAACCTCGATCAAAATCTCTCCTACGAAGAACTGATCCAAGAGGCCTTAAAAGATTCCGAAACGCACACTCAGACTATTGCCACCTCATACAGAACATTGTATGTAGATCCTAATCTACTTCATCTTTGGGAAGCACGACACAGCCTCACAAGAAGATGGAAACGGCAAAGACACAAGAGAAAGCTCAAGAAGCGCATAGCTCTCATAAACAAACAGGCTGCTGAATACGCAGCTGTGCTATGCAAGGAGAAATGGCTACAAGAATGCGACGGCCTACAAGACACCCTGACCACAAAGAAAACATGGCATCTGCTTCGGCACTTAATCGACCCCCTGAATAGTAGAGGAGAGTCTAACAGAAACATAATGCGCACACTCAATGCCTACGCGGGTAGCAGCGAAGAACTCCTGAAGGACCTTGCAAAGAAGTACCTCCCGACGGGGGGAGTCTATTCCTCCCCTTCGTATGACGGATCGCCCAATCAAGAACTAGACAAAGATATCCAACTGTACGAGCTACGAGAGGATAGCGGATAGTAAGCGGAACAGTGCCCCGGGTCCAGACAAAATCACTAATAAGCTCCTTTTCAACTTAGACGACCGCACCATGGATACCCTGCTCAGCCACTTTAACAGCTTCTGGACGACAGGCAAAATCCCGGACCAATGGAAGATGGCGGAGGTACACTTCATCCGAAAGCCCGGCAAATCGCCACATATTGAGAACCTAAGACCAATCTCTCTTACATCCTGTATCGGCAAAATCATGGAGAGAATCATACTGAAGAGACTTCAGAACCACCTCGGTGCAACGCAACAAATGCCGGACACGATGTTTGGATTCAGGAAACACCTCGGTACCCAGGACGTGCTCATTCAACTCAAAGAGGACATCCTTGTCCCAGCCACATGTAACTCCCCGAGAGCCATCTTCGCTCTAGACTTGAAGGGAGCGTTCGACAACGTAGCACACGAGGCGATCCTCCGAAACTTAGCCAAGACAGGCTGCGGGGAAAGGACATATAACTACATAAGTGACTTTCTCTCTAACCGCACAGACATACTTAAGATCAGGGACATCACCTCCAAAGCACCCATCCACTTGGGATGCAAAGGGACTCCCCAAGGTTCGGTCCTGTCTCCCCTGTTATTCAACATCGCGCTCCTGGGCCTCCCTGAGCAGTTGGGACGAATACCGAACTTAAGCCATGCCCTCTATGCGGACGATGTGACCCTTTGGACGGGCACCGACTCCCTCGGAGGCTTGCAGGACACGCTCCAGCTCGCCGCCGAGACGGTGAATCAATGCGCAAAAAGCTGCGGACTGTCCTGCTCGCCACAGAAATCCGAGCTTCTCGTGGTGAGGAGAAGGCGATCCAAGAAGGACGACGACAACATCCACGTCACTCTCGAAGGGCACGACATCAAGCCAAGCAAGTCCCTCGGGATCTTGGGCTTGCTAATTCAAGCGGACGGCAAGAACGACGCAATGGTGCAACAGCTTAGTAAAACCTCTGAGCAAGTCATGCATATGATACGCAGAGTCACGAACCGACACAGAGGCATGAGAGAGAGCGATACGGTCAGGTTAGTTCAAGCCTTCGTCCTCTCGCGCATAACTTACGCTGCTCCCTACGTCACCCTGAGTAAAGCGGAACAAGACAAGCTCGACGTGCTCATACTCAAGACGCTGGAACAGGCAATCGGATTACCCGTAAACGCACCTACGGACAAGCTACTTCGTATGGGGCTACATAACACCGTGGGGGAACTCATTGAGGGCCACTTGTCAAGTCAAAGGACACGACTCGCTCACACTCAAACCGGCCGCAACGTGCTGATTAAACTCAAGCAGGTTCCACGGGACCAGACCCTACCGCTGGCACTCCCGGAATCGTGGCGCCAACACATGTTTGTTTACCCAATCCCTCGAAACATGCACCCGAACCACCATCAGGGCCGCAGAGCAGCAAGAGCAAGAGCACTAAATAAGACATACTCCCGAATACCCACGACGACGTATACCGACGCAGCCAACTACAACGGCAAACGAGCCATGGTGGCCGTGGTGACAGACGGGCACAAGTACCTGACCAGCGCCTCCGTCCCACGGGGTACGGCTAAAGAAACAGAAGAGCTTGCCATCGCCCTCGCCCTCACACAAACCAAAACTTCCACAATAATCACGGATTCGCAAGAGGCATGCCGTAGCTTCCAGTCGGGCTGGGTGGCACCTGTCACGCTACGTATCCTAGAAAACAAGGCACCGGACAGGCAGGTCGACATTGTGTGGACCCCAGCCCACTCCTCCATGAGAGGCAACGAACACGCCCATCTCACGGCCCGAGACCTCGCCCACCAGGCCACGGAGGAGACACTGGAACCCACACCGCTCACGACCTATCAAGAAATTACACAACATTACAGGCCCAACAGAAGAACATTACCCGCACCACACCCTTCCCTCACGAGAAGTCAGGAAACCACACTCCAGATTACTACAGACTAACATATTTCCCCATCCAATTAAGATGCACCTGCTATTCCCCACACAATTCGACGTCCAATGTCAATTCTGTAACCAACCCGGCACCCTGAGACACATCATATGGGAGTGCGACAACAACCCAGACATGTCACCCCCTTTTCCTTCCCCTACCCCCAGCAGTGGGAGACGCTGCTGTCCAGCTCCCTCCCTCAAGATCAGCTCTTGCTGGTGGAGAGGGCCGATCGAGCCAGGACGGCACATCGGTACCTGAATTGAGGATCCACCCCACAGCATAAAACGCTTAATAAATATGTTTTGCTCTCCTCCTCCATCTGTATGGGCAACGTACCGGAGTAAGGTCGTCTATGCCAACTGCGTGATGCAGGTTAAAGATCCCCAGGCTAGCGTTGTACTGCAGTGGCTAAATTTCTCCTTTACAGCTGGGAGACTTGTCGCCCGTTGAGGCAGACCAAGTTCTAGGGTGTATAAACATACACACCACCCAATTCTGTTTTCAGACAGTTGCGTTGGTTGCGTTGAAAGTGACTGCAGCGACAGCAACAACAAAGTCCCCGGGATGACATCTCCCCTATGGTCCATGAAACTTGTCAAGCAACGCGTTCTAGCGTTGTGAGGCAGTTATGACTAGGGTTGCGTGTATTCTGGCTTTAGTTTTTTACAAGTTTAGGAGTGGCATTTCGATATTTATGAGCTGAAAAACTGATGAAGAGGAAGATAGGAGAGCGTATGGAAACGTCAGAGCGCCCAGCTATGATTGGAATGATTAGTTTGTACGTATACCTAAAGCTGTAGCTGCCATTGTCTCCACAGCACTCGTCGAACTCGTTAGAACGCGGAACGCCGGCGTCCGACAATTGGTTTCCGGATTCGAACGCGTTCGACCAGTGCAATGAAGACAAAGGCAGCCTTGAACGCGTTAGCACGGGAAACGGCGGCTTTTGGCTTTTGGCTCTCGCATTCGGACGCCTTCGACGAAGCGCAGGGGAGAAAAACGCAGCTAGCTTTAGGTCTATCCACTGATCGTTCTAACCAGAGCTAGGCGTTGCGACGTCCCCGCCAGCTCTCGACTCCTCTCACTCTGTTTCTCGGCACATTATCTTTTTTTTCTTTTCGGGTTAGTTGTTTTTTGGTGTTTATTTTCAGTGCCGGGCAAGAGATCGAGGTTTATCGAAACCAATGTTATACAACGGCTAGGTTTTAAACAACGGTTCCGGGGTGTTTGAAACGTTATCCCGATACCGGGAACGGAAAGAGATGGGGGAAGGGACGCGGTTCCCAAAGGAGGGAGCAACACGTACTTTACTAAAGTCGGTGACAGGTCAAGAGGGAAGTGGAAGCACCACCCACCTCTTTCCACTTTAGCAGAGCGAACCGTGGAGAGGAGGTCGCCTCCTCTCCAGCGTCAGCTTTGCCAAAGGGGAGAGAGGTGGGAGGGGCTTCCATTTCCTTCTTGACCTGTTACCGACTATTGGAGGAATGCATCCTATACTTCGTTTCACTTTATCTGGGAGCGAAACCAAAGCTAGAAGCGCGAGACCAGCGCCTTTTGCGCTTCTCCCCAGCTCGCGCGCTCGAGCAAAGCCTGAACGCATGGAGCTTTCGTGCTCGCGCTTCCACCTTTGCCTTCGCTCGCACATAAGGTGAAACGAAGTATAGTTCCCGATATTAAAATGGCCTCGCCGTGGACAGGTCTGGCGCAGTTTGAATGGCTGATTGACTAGCAACTTCGTATGTTTCCCCGTTCAATTGGGAATGGTGAATGGCGCCACCTTTTGCCATGGAAGACGCGGTTACCGAGCATTCACCGGTAGGCGAAGGGTGCGCCGTAGGCCTTTTGGTCGCTGCAAGTGCTTGCTCAATATGTGTCATAGCTTGTTCTCTAAACATTTTAAAACGAGAGGATGTTTGGACAACATTTTATTATTTAAGACGTCTTCATACGCAACAGTTTCAATCAAAAAAAAAAAAAAAGATTATAGGATCTCATGAAATTTCAAAATTTGTGGACCAGTTCAACCTCTAAATGTAAAGTAACCTAGAGTGCCTTTATGAGCAGGCAATGTAGCCAGTAGAGGCTGATGATTTATGCAACTTTAAAAGGGTGATTGTCCGGTAGTCTTTTTTTTTTTCACAGTAGAGCACCTACAGAAGAACGCGTTGAGACTGGGAAATCATTTTACCAGAAGTCCCCAAAATAAATCGAAGCTATAAAATGGGCAGCGTCAATTCTCTACTTCGTGTTTGAAACAAAAACTTCCTCAAATATGTGCTTAACTGATCACATTATCGCATTACATTTTCAAATTGCAACTCCAAGAACACAAAAAAAAAATTTCTCGAAAAAATGGTTGGTTTTATAATCAGTTATTTTTTTACTTTTTAAGTCGGAGTCGAGATTTAGCATTTACTTGCGCGAATGTGACCAGTAAAAAATGTATTCAAGAAATAGTCCTACTTAATGGAATTAGTGCTTTTGGTGGCGCCCTGATTTGCAGGTCTGTTGGCCAGGTTCCTTGATGGCATGCTGTTTTGATTCAGCCTGCGGTGTACAAAAAACTATTTTTAAAATTCGCGGGTTCGTGGGTACTGAGAGCGCGCACGCAGCACGAATGCCAGAACAAGCATCTTGCTTGAGAGTGTGTTAATATTGTTGTTAATAAGTTCGGTGAGCCAAGCACGTTATCATACCAAAAGCTCTGCATTCATAAATTTCTATGATGTGAAAAGCTGCTGCCCAGCAGAAAGAACTAATCTGGAAAGCAGTACACTTTTGAACTAATTCGAATGATTAAATTATCGATATCGTATGAGCAGAGTCTACAAGGGACGATCAACTACAAAAGCTATCTAGAGAAAGAGAGTTCGCACTTCAGGTCTCTTCCGCCTCTTACAGTCTTCGTTGATGTATATATGTAAACTAAATGGAGTGTACAGACGTAGACTAGAGGCACTAGATCAGCTGCTCATTGAGCAATGGTACCCTGTTCCCCGACATTGTTTGGCGCCGCCATTTTGGGGCTTGTGCAGA